TCAAGTATCACTTTGGGACTAAACATTTTCAGAAGGACAAATTTATGGCAACTTGTAAAATGTTTCACTGTCAAAAAAAGACTCTGTGCACATGCCAGGACACAGCTGAACAGGCAGAGCACACATCTGATCTCAAGAGTGCAGACCACACCAACCTCAGAAAGTACCAGGGCACGGTGTTTTTAGAACTGTGCTGGTGGTAAGAATCTCATGGGGTGGGGAAGAGGAAGACCTCTCCATCCCATACTTTAATGCAGTTAAAAAATTATTTAATGATTTATCCCATGCTTCTTTATAAAAATGTGTTCCATTATGTTTGCTCATCCCTCAAATGTAATATTTTAGACTCAAATGCAAATTGAGCCCTGAGGTTAATAATCATAGACTAATATGGTCAGATCTAATCTACTGAGGATCTTAGCTACATCATTGCACACAGTATTTTCATTCACAAGTTAAAATTCAAACCAAAAACTCATTTCAAACCTTTTTTAAACCTATAATTGAAAATTACTACTCAAGGTAACAAATCTATCAGAAACAAAACAGTGATTAGAAAGCATGGTAGTATAAATATATACAACATAATATTAAACATTTATAATATTCTATAGGTTAAATATCATTTCAATGAATAATAGAATAATATTTGATTCCTTCTGATTATTTAAATGCATAATAAATTGGGGCACACATATATACATGCACATGCAAATGCAACTGTAGTATAATAAAAAGATATAAACATAGTTTTCCTGAAGTCTACTGACTTTAAGACGACTGTTACAGGGTCATCAAAGGGAAGAGATTAAAGAATTTCAGCACCTGATGTGTTGTGAGAGAGAGAGAGAAAGGCAGAGAGGGAAAGAGAGAGAGGAGGGAGAGAGGGAAACAAAAAAAGAGGGAGAGAGAGGGAGGGGAGAAAGGAAGACTCGAGAGGGAGAAAGGGAGAAAAGCATTCACACTGAATATTTGATTATTGAAGGCCATCCTCATAAGCAAAATATTTTCCCTCAATTACACCTAATTATTTAATTGTTTACATTTACTAATGAAACGAAACAACACAGAACAAACAACCACAAGGGGCTGTTTTTCAGCAAGTGCATAATCATCAATCAACATGTAGGGAAAGATTCTTAAAATTATATGAAGCTGGGTTGTTTAAATAGAAAGGCATATTTTATCCCAATCAATGCATAGAAGTAAAATTATCCATAACTGAGGCATGTTTCTGTGCTGTGCAGCTCAGCCATAATGGCCCCCACACACTGCGCTTGCACATCAATTATGATTATCATAATCACGGTCGTTAAGCTGAATGTTCATTATTATCAGGATGCCTGTGACAGCAGATTCAATCACCGGGTGCAATGGGCAAGCAGTCACAGTCCCACCCAAGTTTCTGCAGACAGCGATGTGCCGCATTAAATCTATGACGTGTTCCACATCCCACTCTATTCCAAAAGCATAGACGGTAAAGGTCAACTTTATGTTCTGTGCAATATGCTTAGGTTCTCTAAATTAAATCTTGGAGTATTGGAGATTTTTATGCTTTGTAATTTATAAAATCCTGTTTAGGACCTAAGGTACATGAAAATAGCAAAAAAAAAAAAAAAAAAAAAAAAAAGAACTGCCTAATGTTGTAATTCACCTATAATAAGGCACTAAGGAGGGACTATGGGACTATCAATGGGAAGCCTCTGAAAGGTCTCTTCCTGAATTTTTGCAAATAAGGAAAACATGACATAGTTGTATTACAATCAGGTGTCTCAAGTGCCTATGAAAACTCTTCTCTTTCAGATAAAGGCTTCAGATTATCATTTCTGTTCCAGTGAATATGAACATATGAGAATGTTTTGACAATCAAAAGAATGCTTTTAGTACAGAGAAGTTCCTATTGTCCAACTTTTTTAGATCATTTCAAGTAGATTAAATTAATAGTGATTGACTGTTAGATTTGCCTTTTTTTTTCATTCCTATTTTAAATATTGTGATCAGAACAGTAAGGAATTAATAAATATGAAGTACTTGCTGGAACTCAAAAAGTTTAGCCATTTGAGACACAGACCAGAGACAAGCTAGCACTTTAACTTGGAGCATTTCACAAACAGGTCAAAGAAATATGAGTAAGTTATATGATATGTGCTTTATTTTAATATTGATTTCTATACTTTCAAGACAATGATATATATGTTATTTTTCATTATTGATTTTTTTATACTTTTGGGAAAACAGCATGATTTGCTCTCAATTTCTTGACTTTGTGTTGTTTTTGTGCAGTGCACTTCACTCAACAGCATTAGAGTTAAAACAAAAATATAAATTTTTGATAGAGTTGCCTATATTAATTGATTTAATGTGTGATTAGAGGGTTTGTTTAATTAGTATTTTATTTCCTTTCAATTGATGTCCCTTTTACAACTGTATAACAAATCACTGACAATTATAACTTCCATGCTTAAGGGTAATAGAAGAGAAAGAAAATTTTCCATGCAGCCAATTTTAAAAATGACGGAAAATGTGGAGAAGCCAAATACACTTAGTCAAGCTGTTTCTTGGCTGAAATCTACTGCAATCGACTGAATCTTGTATGCATTTAAATGCTTGTAGGCAGTTCACTTGCCCACAGATGTCTAACCTGCATCTATGTTTCCCATTGTCACCATTTTGAACTTAACACCAGTCCTCCTAAAACTATACTTAATCCACTAATACTGAACAAATCGTGGCCTCTAAGCTCCAAAATCAAGAAACAGAAACATAAAAATAAAGAAAAATAGTCTGCCTTTAGCAACTTACTGGATACAAACTCACCCAAGTCATATCAAAATATAAACTATATTACTAGTTGCAACAATTACACATAAGCAATAGAATGACTGCTTCTGAATTATGTAAACTATATAGAAATAAATAACATAATTATTTGAAGAGATCAAAAGCAAAGTGAGAAGAAACAAAGATAAGAAGGGGAAAGAGAAGGAATTTAAATTTTTATTTAGTATTTTTTCTACAGGGTCTTATGCAGGGTTAAGCGGGTTAATGATTTACTAAAATTTAAAGAATCGTTATACTTTTTCTCATTTCGCAGGGCCTATGATAACAATCACTTTTCATTAATTCATAAGTCTCTACAATTTTTCAATGTAAGGAGAAGTATTCAATTATTTTGTTGAAAGAACAAATAAACCTCTTTTCATTTTAGTGATCATCCCAATATTTCTGTGTGATTGCTTATTTTGAACTTAACACCAATACCCTTAAAACTATGCTTAATCCACTAAGACTGAACAAATCATGGTCTCCAAGCTCCAAAATCAAGAAACAGGAACATAAAAATAAAGAAAAAATTAAATAAATGCAAATTATTGGAATGTTTCAGAAAATATTAAATGAATGTGTTATACAAAACCAAGAAGTATCATTAATGTAAGGAGAGAAACAACTGCATGTCACCTCCATACCTTTTCTTTCTTAGGACACTCAGCATCCTAAGATGCTCATTAAATTTTTTTATTAGCATTTATAACATTTCTTTCGTTATTTTTAATAATTTTAAAATAAAGTATAACATTTTAATAAACACCCCCCAAATCAGGCAATAACACGGTAGTACAACCATCACCAAATTACCCATAGTCAACCACCGTATTCCATTTACATTTTAAAGAGAATGCTTTTTTGAAATTAACAGAGAGAGGGCTGTAAAGCAAAAACAAACAAACAAAAATGCTTATGTGAAATATATGATGTAGGTCACTATATTTACCTTGAAAATATGACTTTAAATGAGTAGTTTAAAAGTCATATTTCTCTATATTGTGAATGGTTGCAAACGAGGTAAAAACAAATGCCTAGAATAGTTTCACTGTGAATTTTAAAAAAGATAACATTGGCACCAAGATTTAGGTTCCTCAATCCAAGGACCAGATTAAATACTACATACATTCATTCCTTAAGGCATAGAATTATTATTTGGTGTTTCAGAGACACTTTTTGTCTTTTTTTTTTTTTTTAATTTGCTAACTGCAAATCAAAAACTATTCATGTTTCTTTCTAGCATGACATACCTTTGGCAATCCAATGTGTAAAATGTTCTAAAAAAGAAATGTTCTTAATTTAGTAAAAAGAGGTCTTATTTCTCTTAAGGGTTTACCACGTTTCTTCCTGATGAGTAATGAGAATCCCTCAGCAGCTTGTTTTCCTTTCTATCTTAGCCTCTCACCAGCTGGAATTCTAAGTTACCCCCACAGCAGAAGTACGCCCTTATTTGTGGGCATATGTACTCTTTTTCTCTAAGATCACTTCCCCATATTTTTATTTCTAGAGTATTGTCTTTTTTTTTTTTTTGCATTCACCTTTTCAACAAGCATCTTATGTTCTTTTGAAGAACATTTGTGTGTAAGTGAATAAATCCACCATATAAGTTATCAGTTATTAATAGAACCAATAGGTCTAGAAATATGTGAAATTCAGCAGTCCTAACTGCTTTCCAGAAAATCACTTCTTCATTTTATCAGCATAGTTTTGCGATGAATAAGTTATAGTTTCTGTCAGACAACAGGTTGATTACAGAGTGAGACCTTTCCCTTTCACATTCTATAATGTAAGACCTCTTGGTGCTCCCCTTTGTCCACTTACCTATCAACAGAAGCTGAGAGTAAGAGAAAGCAAGCGAGCATTTATCTACATACCTGAAAGTTAGCTTCCCTGGAACCACAGATTAAGGCCTGGAACCACTGGCTTTGCTTTAGCTAATGATGCAGGCCACTGATCACAGGGTAGCTGTGCCATGACACTTAAGAACACAACACTGATTTTTCACATGAAAACAAATGTCTTGTAGACATAAGGTAATGGTATCATCTTTACATAAAAGTGATGTAAACTATTTTGTAAACCACAAAGGTATGGATTATAATGAGAAAGTTTACATTTGCTATAACTAGTGTATGTTTTCAGCCTTTTAAAAGGAACACAATGTCAGATAAACTCACCTTGTGAGAGATCCATTTCTTAGAATTCTCGTCTCTGAAATGCTGCGACCCATAAGAATCAGGACCATACTTGCTTGATGAATGCATTAATGGGATGTACTTCTTATTTTTATGGTAGGTAGAAAATGGCAAAAACCTGAAAGAAAAGGTGATAATATTAATTTTATTTCTAGAGCTATTAATTTAGAAAAGTCATAATTGAGAGAAGTAGCGTACTGAAAAGAATACATGGCTTGGAATCAGAATACCTGGTATCACTTCAACCTGTTCCAATGAGCTTCTTTGTTACTAACCTTTATGAAAATTTCTTATTCTGAAAGTGGAAACACTAACACTTTCTTCACTGGATTTTTGTGAGTCTCCATTAATTTGTAAATATATGTTAAATAACACATGAATCAATTTAATGAAACCAAATAATTAAAAATCCATATATATTTCTTAATTTTAAAATGGTATCCCAAATGAAAAGGAATGCATGTGCAGGCAATTCTTAGGCAAATGGCTTGCTTTTAAATCTTAATTGCCCAAATAATGCAGTTATTTTGGTGGAGGCGTGAATAAGATTCACACGTATTTGGCTTTATCCTTGTGAGCTGTGTTCCCTCATGTAAGTTAGCTGACCTCTGAAATTTTACTTCCATACAGGGTCCTTGTAAGGAATGAACATGTGAAGTTATGAGTGGGATCTGAAAAGAGCAAGGGAGAGGGAGAGGCCGAAGAAAATGGGGTGATTTGTCCTGCAGATGCCTTGTAAAGCTTAAGAATTAAAACTACCCACCTGGCAGGGGAGGAGCCTTAGGGATAAAACTGGAGACCTGAAAGCTGACAGGGGGAGAAGTCCCCAGCTTCCGCCCCCTAGCCCATGTAAGCCTAAGGAGGCTCTTTTCTCAGAACCTTTTGCTGAGAGCTAGTGCGGAGCGAGGCAGCTTAAGGAACTTATGGACTTTAATTCAAAGTGCTCTCCTGATCTCTTCCTTTGCTCATCTGAGGTGAGCTGGCAGCTGAGACTTGAATACTTTTGAAGACTAACTGTGTCTTCTCAAAAGACACTGAGAGTTCCTAGGGAAACACCTTTAATCTATTTTTAAATTTTTCATTGAAGTAACACTGCATTATAACATGATAGAAGTGTCAGGTGTACATCCCTATAAACCGACATCTGTATATTCTACATAAAGTTCAGCACTAACAGTTCAATTCTGTCCTTTTTTGGGATTTCTTAATTAAAAGATCTGGGTCCTAGTCACCATGCAATAAGTCTGTGGGTCAGGAATCCATTCTCACACACAAAATTGATTCTAATCTAATTTTCAATCTCTCCTTAGATTTAAGAATGGACAACCAAATGAGGAAGCTGCCAACATGAAAGAATGACACAAATCCAAACACATATGATAATCAGAAATTGTGAATTAATATTAAGTCAAAGAAATTGAAGCTAACTGCTACTTTAAGTGGAAGGTACGTTGACAAAAGAAGAGCAAGTTCTAGGGAAATATTCTATGAGTATTCTGAAATTAACATTTTATAAGAGTAAAGTTGAGTCTCAACAAGTTTACTGAGCCATTAGCACATGCTAATATTTAACATATACCAACTCATTTAATGAAGGCTAAGAAGGGTTTTTTGAATCTCAATGCAATTGCAAAAAAAAAATGCCATTATATACATAGATTTATCTGAAGAGTAATATGCTTAGGAAAAGTAGTATTGTTTTATCAATTTTCACACCCCTCTACAATTACTTTTTAATGTTCATTAAATAGTTCCTTCTTAATAATTTCCCTAAAAAAATGTTCTGAATACTATTTAAAATGAAAACAAACACAGGGCTTTGCTTTACACAAAATTATACAAGCATGCATTGCATATGGTCTGGGGGAAGAGCTCTCATATAAGACAGATTGTGGTCCTTCCAGGGCTAATTTGCACATGGGATGGACATCACACACACACAAATTAATGTGGCTCCAGTGTCCCTGAGCGTATAGAGGAGGCGTGTGGGCCGGCTGCTGCACTTACAGTTCTTAGCACTTCTGAATTGCATTTTAATAGTACATTTTTCTTTTGTGTCTAAACAAAATTTGCTTTCTCAAGGGAGTGGATGGCTCAAAAGACAAGGCTGAAAGACTGGGCATTTCCCTGTCTATGAATTAATTTTACTTTCATTTGGTCATAATTCATTCAAGTAACATGTGCTGTGTATTCTTAAGGTGCACTATGGATATGCACATATATGTACATGCAGCCAAAAATTTTAAGTGTTTTATAAATGATATGTGGATATTTATCTTCAAGTTAGAAGAAATTTAAACTTCTTTTAAAAAGACTTTTATTTATTTATGCATACAGAACTGAGGTACAGGCCAGAGGTGCAGGAACGGTGAGAGGATTCACCAGAGACACAGTGGGAAAAAGAACGGGCAGACTGACAAGTACAATTGCTGAGGGGAGCAGTGGGCGAGACAGACGAGGTCTGCCAGGCCATGTAGATCACCTCTGGGGCAGGGATCAAACTCGCACCAAGGCAGTGAGGCCAGACTGCAGTGCTGTGCTTAAATCCACTGTATCACCAGCGAAGGCCTGAAATTTAATTCTTAAATAGAATTTCTTCTATGAAAGTTCTCCAAAATCACATTCAGTTTTTAATCAAACTTTTAGAAAATTACCTATTAAATATGTTATCTTTTTCTTCTTTGGGATATATATTTGGAGGCATTTTGTGTTTGTAGTGAGCACTTTTATTTATCAGTGAAAAAAGAAGATATGGATTTGCCTTTTACATTTAATTATCTGATCAAAGATTCTGATCTGGAAGAAATTCTTAAATACAGTGCAGAGAAATGGAACACATAAACAGGTCACAATTTGAACACCTCGGCAAACAGAGAAGAATTAGTAGAGGTGCCAGGAAGCAAAAATTAAAATAGACAATTATCTTCAGGGAAAAAAGGTCCAGTGAAATACATTATAAAGTCTTTATAACTTAAGTATTAACATATACTGTATCATTTTCCAACATACGCACAAACACACACACACACACACACACACACACACACACACACACACACACACTTTGATTAGCCATAAAGAAGTTATCCAAGTTATACAATGCATTCTGATTTAGGTAAATCATTTCAAAATGAACAGGCTGCTAGCACCAACTCATTCCATATGAGCCTTCTCGCCCTTAAAGGACTCTTAGTAAAAATATGCATTAAATACAAAGCAGTCCAAAGACACGCTTAATTAAAGTTAGGAATTTGGGTCCAGATCACAACAAATTCTCCAATGAATGGCACAAGTCACACCAATAGCATGCATAGGCTAGAGCAGAGCTAGCACTCCAGAGTTACCTTGCTCAGACTTCATAGCAGCCTGCTCCTTGCCATGCCTTCCGGGTGTCAACAGCAAAGTCAGGAGGTGACAGGAGACAACATACACCACCTGTAGCAAGACTAGCCGTTTGCTCTGACCAGTGGCCAGAAAAGGAAGGGAGAGACAGCAAAGGACTCTCCCCACTAGGAGCCAATCCAGGGCATCACCTTCCTACTTGATTGTCTTGAGACTCAAGAGAAGCACTCTGGAGGGAGGAAAACTTCACTGGGTAGAGCCTGGCAGGAGTGATGACAGGAACACAGCTGTTCCTTAAATGAAAGGGGACAATGGCTGGCAGTGGAGAGGGCCAGAGGCCAGGGAGCTTTCTCTTCCCTTTGAGTAGCTCCTAGTGGTGTTGAGGGGGTACTCAGTTCTAGGTCTGTTCACAGAAATGGATCAGAAGTATATAATAAACAGTGGGTGGCATGATTCACAGAAATCCAATTCATCAACTATGTCTAAAATAAATATTCAATATGAATGCTTAGACACTTGGATATAAAAAGGTGAAAGAGCAAATGTTACACACAGGACCCTTAAAATATAACAAGGAGAAAAGGCAAATAACTATGAGAAACTATGAGAATATAAAAGGGAAAAAAATGCAAAGCCTTAGGATCAAGGGACAGCAGAGAACACAGGGATAATATCTACCCTGAGCTTCAACAAATGGGTCAGATTTTGTTAGAAAGATAAGGACCTCAAGGGAGAGCAAGCAAGCAGGGTCTGGTAGAGGTCAGAGAGGAAGGCATATGAGTCCTGTGAGCACCCAGTTCACCTGCCTGCACAATAGGAATAGTGCTTTGGCAGGGCACGCCCACTGCCCCTTCAGCAGGCCTGTCTCCTCTCACTTAGCCCTCTCCAGCAGTATCTGCTATCCAACATTATCCAGGTTACTTGATTCTTTCCTGTCTACTACTGCCCAGAGCTGTAGCCAGTCCTGGGGCTCCAATGTTGGCCTTTTCCTTCAAGGGCACCCTTGTCTAGAGCATTATAAAGACAAATAAATCCTGGGGATCAAGGAAGAATGACACAGTATCACATCCTTCTCCAATCTATGCTGCCAAATTATATGCTTGTGATTGGATACAAGACATACCTGACAGTTTCCATCTTTTACTGGAAGAAGTTTCTGTTCTTACTTAGGAGAAACTGCAAGATTCTTGTATAATATGTGACTATTGATACATTCCCTCACTTCATGTAGAAAAGAGAATCAAAAGTAAATATATTTTATCATCTCAAGATTAGATATAAAATGATTAGTCTTCAAGTTGTAAAACCTTCCATACTTAAAAGGCAAGAAAATGTAATGAGATGACAGAATAGCCGCTACCACCTTAAGGACTCTACATCTTAATAATTCAGTAAGTGAACTTATTATGCTCAAGTTAGAGTTTACTTCCATCTTAAGACTGAATTGTTTGTTAAATATATATTACTGGGATAAGAAATGACCAAAGAATCTGCAGAAAATCAGTTTTCCGTTTTATCTGCTATACTGCACAATAATAATCTACACCAATTATTTTTCTCTGCTCTTGCAGCAGAACCATAAAACATGCTCAAAAGATCACAGGCTATATTAATAACATCTTAGTCTATGAGCAGGCCTTCTCATACCAATCACTAAGAACAATAGCAGAAAGGTTGGGGATCTGGATTCACCTCAGATCATTACTTGAAAGGTAGGTCTAAAATACTTGTTAAGTGAGGAGAAAGAATTAACATTTTTATGGTCAATATAGAGTA